GTATTAATATTTGTATATGGTTTTCTGTTTTACTCACTGAACTGGAAAGTGAGCTGAATTGGAGAATGTTTCCAAATCAGCTATTTTGTCCTAGATTGTTCACTTCTGCCTTCTCCAAACTCTTCCCCCTTTTGTGAATAACCCTGTTAAAGTCCACTTTAGTTCAGGAAAAATTCCTCATTTTAGCTTACAACTGCAAGAGTGATGACAGCACAAGCTTTTTTGTTTACCTGTATGTTACTGACGTACAGTTTAGAGCTTTTGCAAGGCACATACCCAAATTTACAGTAGGATCATGAGCATGGTTCGCCAACTTCCCTTTGGTAATGCAGACAGACATTATAATAAGGAAAGTGGAGGGAGTACTGAAGCAAAGCCATGCAATCTCCCTGTCAGCAATGGCTTACCAAAATACTAACCTAAACAATAACCCTAAATACTAACTCTTTGTTTATCAACAAAGCCATGTGATAAGCAGACCAGCACTCACATGGTTTTCACATAGTTTTTTTTTGCTGAATAAAGTTTTTAATTTCCTGCAGAATAGTGAAGTTCGTCAAAATATCCCAATTTTTGCTCAAAATTCAGAAAAGTGAAGGCTCTCAAGTACCCTTATATCATTGTTTCTGTTCATTTCTATTGTGATCAAATGCAGAAATCTTTTTAAATTGTAAGTGCCCTTTATGCGAAGCAGTCATTACTGCTGATTATGTGATCTTCTACATAAAATTATTCTAAGTTTTAGGTTTCTTTTGACCAACAGGTGCAATTTTTGTCACATTGCAGCTCCAGGGCTTTGATAACACAGCCACAAAGAAAAACATATTGAAAGGCAGTGCAGTTAACAACAAGCCATTAGTTTAGGAATTTGATTTTGCTAACACAGTTTGTTGTGTTAATCTCCTCCTTTTTCTTTCTTATCAGCACATAATTGAGCTAAGTGAAAATAGCATCACAGCTCCTAAACTTAATACACACATCATCTTAACAAAATCAATTTTGTAATAAAAGGAGCACTTGCTTTTTCGTAGCAATGCCATGAGAAAGTCAACAGATCTCTGGGAACAATGGGTTTTAAATCGAAATTCGACAAGTTTGTCACACTGATGTGGACAGGGTGGTTACCATGGATACAGATAAAAAAGAATGTATCCTTATCAAGACTACATAGACTGTTTAAAAATGCTTATCCTTTGAACAATTGATAGATTAAATTACTAAAGAAGCAAAAGATAAAAGGCAGCATGGTAACAGTCTTAGACTGAGCTGGAAGATAAATGAGAGCTGCCAAAGGGTTTATACATTACAATGTGTAACACATTTTGCATGTGTTTTGTTTTGTACTATACTATCCTACATGTGTATCTTTGTAATGCATAGGTAAATTGTGATAACATTTTAAATAATAATTTTAACATGCCTAACCTTCTTCTATACATGGTAGTTGCCTTACTGTGAGTGGCTTCCATGCTTTGTTACTGTGTAAACAGAGAAAGGAACAGAGGCATGCAATGCACCATTGTATATTAAACTTTAAGAAGTTTAAATATATAGAGATGCAAACACATAGAGAAGGCTGAGCAAGCACCGCATTGGGGTAGATAATTGAGGAGGGCAGAGCAAGCAGCACAAGCATAGCTAGTCTAATAGGCATCCATAACAGCACACTGGATCGTAGATTGACAACTGCCAATACCCATGGCAGGAGAAGAAAGAAGGTATAGGAATTGTCATTGCTTATGCTTTGCTTGCTTAGACTTTTATTTGTAAGTGTAAATTACAGGGGTTCCCCTTAAAATTCCTACCAGACTTAAAGGGTCTGGTATTAATTGTCAGAGAACCACACACTTTTTTTTTTTACGTCAGGGGTGCCCCCTAACCTTCCTACCAGGCCTAAAGGGTCTGGTATTAATTGAGGAAACCCCACACTGTTTTTGTTTCTGTGGAGTGTCAGAAATTAAAAAGAAACAAAGTAAACATTTAATGTCACTTTTCTGCAACAATTTTTTTTCATAATGATCATTTAACTCATCCAAAATTAACAAAAATTTGGATTCATCCAAATCCAAATGCTGAAGCGATTTGACTTTCAGACCTGAATCCAGAAAAATTAAATAACGAAATATCAGAAGCTAATCACATTTTTTTGTCGGCTTACATGTCTATTGTCAGCTGTATCCTGTGACCTGAGATTTGGATTTTGATCCGACCCTCTGTTACTGACCTGGCTTGCCTTCTGACTCTCCTGATTCCTACTCTGTACCTGTGTGACCTTGACTTGTCACCTCGCCTGCTGCTTTTGTACCTCATTGCCTTCAAGTTATCAATCTGACCTTTTCCTGGCTCTATCTCTACCTGCTGGACTGATGCCATCCATTCTGACTGTGGCTGACCCTGGCTTCCTCGACCTTGCTCTCTGGTAATTGGCATTCCCTGTCACGTCAAAGGTCCAGACATCAGCATCCATCAGTTCTGGTGACATCAGTGGAAACATCACTCAGCAGCACTTATGTCACTCTTTTGTCCCTGCACCCTGCCCAACTACCAGGGGTGCTTGGACTAGAACAGCAAGAGGTGTCACCATACTCATCTCAGGCTCCCATAGAGATATGCGATATGCTGGTTTTGAAAGGTTTTATATATAGTTATATAATTCTCCACATTGTACTGTTAAGTCACACTGACTATTATATTGACCTATTAGTAATGGCATAAAGAGTTTCTAATCCCCCCCCCCAAAAAAAAAAAGATAACATTAGAAGCTGCAAAGGATACAGCAGTATTAAATTGGCCAGAATCAGAACATTTTTAATTAGACATAATAGTCCTAACTGGTGTATGCCTAACTTTTTTAAATCTCTATTGATAGAGGGATGCAATGAATGTGAGTGTTATCAAGTGAGGTGAATTAGGTACACACTGTTCTTGTACCTAGTTTTTTTTTTTAAGTCCAAAAAAAAACTAAAAAGATTAAGCCCTTGAACTGACTGTCAACACCAGAGACCTGGTATGCTCTAATCACCCAAGTTTAAAGTTTTAAGTAAAAAAAAAAAGGGAAAATACCCCATGTAATAAAAAAATCACCGCAAACCTAATGTAACCACTAAACTTTAATGTAAACTTTTAACAGCTGGTGATACTTATATAAAAGGTCCTTGTTTGGGCACTTTGTGTTATAGGGTGACAATGCTCTGCCCCTGTCTCCCACAATCTACAGCCTGCAAATTACCTGGTCACCTGTCATACCAAAGGAAAAAATCTGCATCTGTGCTGATGCACATTGCCCAGGAGAATTTTTCAAAAAATGATCTTCAAAAACATTAGCAGCCAGCACTAATTAGGAAATATGCTTGGTGAAAACACACATGCAGCTGATTATCAGTGAAGTACATGTGGACTCAGGGACAGACTGTGAAAAAAGTTTATTACAAACAGAAAAAGCTTGGAAAAATGCCCTTTTAAAAATACATTTTTGACTGTGCTTGTGGAGAGGCTGTAAAGAGGCTGCAGGACACACATTAGCAGCATTAAGATATAGACAATCCTTCCCTCCCCCACCACTAAATTACCACAGATATACAGCATATTGCTACCTAAAGGACATTCAGTGATTTACGTTAAGAGATCAGTGCCTACAGGCCCTACACTTATCTGTATCTATGCACTTTACCACTAGCACTGACTCCCTATGCTCTCCCTAACACAGCTAAGCAGATTGTCAGTATGGCTGCTGGGAACCCTGCCTATTTTTCGTGTGGGGCTGACGCATAACAAAGCTTCAATTTCTGGTCATTCTAAGCCACCTAACCTAAGACCTAGGTCAGATCAGAGGCCAAGAAGAGAGAACCAGACAAAGTACAATTTTGATTGGCAGTTGTGGTATTTATATACATATATACGTGTGTGTACTAGAGAAAAAAATATAACAGAACATTTAATATACAAGTTCCAATACATTTATTTATATCTTTTACTTGATTTGTAAGTCAAATGCAATTCAAGCTAAAATATGCAAGCAATAAAATATGCAAATGCTGAATATTCAAAATTAAGTGTATTATTCCTTTATTCGTGATTAACTAGAATAGACAGTCAGCATTGTTCCTAAATACATTCCGTGGGATGCCAATTTACTAAAGCAGATACTTAGAAAGGAAGAAAAAAAATCAGCTTCAAAGGAATGCTAAATTATGATTCTTCTTATATCCCCGAAATAGGTCATGAATAGGAAAAAGAAAGAACATAAGGATAAATGGATGAATTATAAAAGATGAAAAAAAAGGCATGTACTCTGTAGATTTTATAGAAATAGTTTCAAGATATAATAAAAGAGTCATGTTACGGGTTTCTCTACTTTTAGGAAAATTGCACACATTTTATTTTGCTGTTTTAACTGCTGGTTGTCCAAAAATATCTTTCTTGTTAAAATGATCATATAATCAATGTCACAAGTAGCAGTCCCAACCCGTCTGCCAGTCTCTATCCTTTGCTCCCCGCAAGGACACCCCCAGATTGCTACTTGTCTCCTGCTGTGCCCCGGATTGTTGCCCTATAATTCTGGAGTCACTTTTGATGTGACATGTTGCTGCACTGTGATTCTGCTGCTTGTTCCTTGCCATGTCCAGGGTTGCTACCACATTTTGCTGAAATTTGTGACCTGTGATCCTGCTGATCTTCCCTGGACTTAATCCCAGGTCAACCTCATTGCTTCTATGTATGTTGTGGATTCACTTACTAAAAAAAAACCCTAGCCAAGGGTCCTGAACCACTTCTAATCTCCATGTTGGTTCTGTTCTGCCCATACTCCCATCACAAAGACCATAATGCAAATATAATGCAAAGCTAGCAGTATGTTTACCAAAAATAATAAAGTACATCACTGAAGAAAACCATCCAAGGAATACATCACTATTGCACATTTTGCAATGTCTGAACCTCTCACATTACTGATATGAAACAATGGGATAAGACTTTTATTTAATAAATGGTTAGAACTTTACCTTAGCTGAAGCCCTAGAGTACCATCACCAGCTTGAGTTAGCATCGCAAATGGCCCAGTCCAGTTTGACAGCACAGATGATGTTCTTTTCACATTTCTAGAGTAGAATAAACAATATTCTTGTTACATGGCATATAAACAATATTAAGAAACAAAACAAAACACTAGCAGGATGATTATCTATAAATATGTATTTTATTACATTTGTAGGCACAGCTTGTATTTTAATTGCCTACAAAAAAGAAAACTAATGGTCTTGACTAATCTAAGTAACTGCAATAAGGACTTTCTGCATTTCTCTACAGCTAATATGATTCCAAGATGGTCTATAAAAGTTTATTAAAAAAAAAAAAATGGTTGAATCTGATTTCACTAAAATACTATACTATAGATGGCCCTCACTGAATGGAAAGGTCTGTTTGAAGAGATGTCCATGCTTCCTAATAGCCAGTCACCGCCACTTCATGCTGCTAGGGCAAGCTGAAGAGGGAACTAATCAATCTGGTTGTTTTTGGGCAGAATAGACACTTCTTTTATACATTTTCCTACCATACCTTTCAAATATGAAAAAAATAAGCAAGTGTCCCAGCTTTATTGTTTCAATGCTTCTTCAATCATCCCTTAGCTTATTTTACATGCAATTTAATGCTACATGATTACTGTTCTAACTGCATTTCCTGTTGGGACCTGCCACCCCAATGGCTAGTTGTGTGCTAGGTGAGTGGTCTCCTCAATACTCTCACAGGGCACTTCTAGGAGACATATCCCTCCTCCTACCTGTGCTGGGTAAAGCAAGGAAAAAATGTGACCTGGACTCGAAAGAAATTTTTCTCCTGATAGGATCAAAGGGAAAAAATGGGTTCTTTATAAAGATGGGCACTTTAGGTTAAACATTCTGATTTGTCTGGTGATGGTTTTTAAATTTTTTCCACTGTGGTGCCCGTTCTTATTGGTCACCACTTCTGTCTTGCAGCACTGGGTGCCTGGTTAGAATTCTGGTCAGGGCACTATCTACAAGGAGTTTGCATGTTTTCCCTGTGCTTGCGTGGGTTTCCTCCAGGTACTCCCGTTTCCTCCCACAATCCATACACATGCTGGAAGGTAATTGGCTCATGTCTAAATTGGCTCTGTGTGCAATAGGTACCTTAGATTGTAAACTCCTTGAGGGCAGGGACTGATGTGAATGTGCAGTATGTAAAAAAAAAAAAAATCAGTAGTGTGGCTTCGGCATATTTTAAGTTAAGACAGTGTAGTTTTTTTTTGCAGGCTGGCTGGTAAGTGCTGGGAATTTTTTGCTTTTGTACTGTGTAAAGCCCTTCCATGTGCACCTTGCTTTAAAGCTGGTTATGAATTGATGAGTGTGTTTGCCTTTTGTTTCACTTGTTAGATTTTGTGTGGGGGAAACACTGGGGGCTTCAGCTGCCATTGTGATGTGTTGGGCATCTGGTGTGTCCCTGTGCCTATAAGGAAGTTGGGCTACCTCCTGGTAAACCTGCACCCAATTCATCCTTTGCTATATATGCTCCAAGATGGAGGTTCTCATAGATTAGAGTTAGGACCGCACTACAAAGAGCGGTCTTGATGAGGTAGTGTGGCTTCCATATATTTTGAAAAGGTTGTGCAACTAAAACCTCTGTTTTTAACCCTGGTGGTTGTGCTGGGAAATTTCTGCTTTTGTACTGTGCAGTATGTAAATTGTCTGCGCTATATAAATACCTGTAATAAATTCAATTTATTAAAACATTGCCTTATGTTTATATGTTCTTAAACTGTGTATACAGATAAACACTTAATGCATGACAAAGGGTTCTCAGAACATTATGCGTGATCTAAAGAGACTGCATTGCAGAGCATAGTGCTTTGCAGCTCCTTTTGTCTGATAGAAACCTCAGACTCAGCTGCCCGATAAAGGCAAGTCACTGCTCATTTACATTTCATTTAACACCAAAGAAAGAAGTTGTGTTATGATGAATTGCTAAATCTGTTTAATCTATCTATGCTCTGTATGACCAAATATGTGCTCTAATGCATAGGAGATGTTTCTAGTTACTTATGTTTAAATAAGGAACCCAGCTATCAAATTAAGACACAAAACAAAATCCGTCCTGAGGCCTCAAGACAGTGAAATGGCTCCTTAAATCAATTTTTTGCTAAACTTCTAATACATGTATGTAGCAACTAAGATTTTAAGCTTTTAGGAAACAATTAAATACTTTTTTTAGGCAATTAGCTTAAAGACAAACTGCAGGAAATATAAAAATGATGTGCCCCTATTGGTGGAGCTGACCCCTATACTAATTGTTCTTCTGTCTATAATTGTCTTCCATCTCATTTTCTGTCCCAGCTACGGCAGTCATTAGAGACAGAAAGCAAGCAGAAAAAATCCTCCTAATACACACAGAACATGATAAAAACCTTGTTCTATAACCAGAAAGCTAGAAAGAAAATAAGCTAGAGTCCCACTTTAGGCAAATATTTTTTGTGATATCAAATCTCTCAAATGAAAATCACGTTTGACCTGCTCCTTAGAAATCATATTCCTGTCCCCGAGAAAATGTGCCTTGTTACAGACTAATTAAACTGCACTCCGATTATAATTTGAAAATATACTTTACCATTAACACTGCAAAAGTTTTCATTAACATTTCAAAGGTATTTTAGAAATATTCTAGCAAAGTTTTCCTAATTACCAGCCAGTGAGGGCTCAGCTAAGACGTACGCAGGCCCTGACAAGAAGCGATTAACCCCTGCAAAGCCAGCTAAGTTCAGCGACTTCCTTTTTTCCAGCGGTAATATTTATGCAAAATAACATCTCACTCTGCAGAAAACGAATTTGGCCGGGAGCTCTGACATGTCACTAATCCTGATCCAGTGCAGCTCTTGAAGATAATACCACCCAGACGCACATAAGCTCAGGTAGAAGAAAATATGTTTGATTCAAATAGAATGTCCACTATTTTTCCTAGTTAATAAGCAGTAAGTCTGCTTGACATTTACTCTAAAACTGTAATATGTCAGATCTGAGGCTTAGAGATTACATGCTGACAGATTTTAGAAGCGTTTATCTATGTGACTTTACATGATGTACTGTATTATTTATATAAGTGGGTAACATTATTTATTTTTCGGGATTATTGGCTGTTTGGCAGAAACAAAGTTAATGCCACCATTTTATGTTCTTGTAAAAAGCTTATATGTCTAAATAAACTGCTGTAAAATAGTAAAAGCAGTTGGTAGAGTTGTTAGGTTGTCAGACTCAAAGCTTCAATGAGGACATCTCCATTTCTAAAGGAGATCTAAAGTCCCACTTTACCCTCCCACTCCCCCTAGTCTTGCTCTCTCCTGCCTGGATATCACCCAGCATGTATTTTTTTTTTTTTAGTCCGGAATGGATGTCACCATGGTGACATCCATGGCTGTCCGTTTTTTTCCTCCATCTTGCAATGGAGGAAAAAAAACTGAACTTACTGGACCCTTGTTAGGTCTATGGGGAGTCAGATGTCAGCAGACATGTGTCCGCCTCATATCACTATCCACCTCAATCATGTTTGCAAAAATGGAACTCTGTTCTATTTGGTTTTCAAAACCTGGACGGACTCAGGAATAATTGGATGTAAACGCACACACGTCTGTTTAGATCTGGCTGCACATTGACTAACAATTGGCTTCCAATCAGATCGCCTGAAAAACTGACAGGTGGACCTGATCGGAATGCCTGTCTGAAAGGGGCCTAAGGTGAAACTGTGGCTAGACTATAGACAGTCAAAATGTCAAAAAGTTTTATCTTTTTCATAAGCAGTAAATGAGCATAAAACAAGGCCTCAATGACCTCTGTAGCTGCAGGCACTTTGGCAGCATTATCTCACCCTGATCTCTCTTCCAGCAGTGACTTAGCAGCTTTCCAGCCTTCTGAAGTAAACACAGAGAGAGGGATTTATCAGAACTGAAGCAGACAAAATCTGGAGCAGATGTGAAAGGCAACCAATCAGTATCTGGATATCTTTTAATATATGTGATGGCCACATGTTCACTTTAAAGGGACAGTGGAAGGTATTTTTATGAGAATATGCTTTGGGCACAATTTACATAGGTTAAATACTGTATCTACGACACCACTTTTGTGGGCAACCTTTGTTCTTTTTAAGCTTATATTTTTTCCCACTAAATGAAGGAGAGAAAATCCTGGCACTCTTTAGTCAGTTTGTCCTTTTCCCTGTTTATTAGGTACTAATCTTTTCCAACCATTTTTTATCAACTCTCACTGTATATAACTGATACAATTCCACATGAAAAAGAGACATACGTGCACAGAAAACAACATTTTTGGATGGTTATTGCGGCACTATGATATTGACAAATGTAATGACTTGTAAAGTGTTGTCACAGCGCTAAAGGTTTGAGATAAATATGAAAATATGTGAATATATATGGATCAAAAAATGTAATGACTTGTTTTACAATCTTTTGCTTTTTCTTTGTCAAAGTTTGGCGTGTTTGTTTCAGTTTTGCAGTTGTGTTTTTCAAATTTAACCAAAAAGTACAACACTTTTCTTTGTTCTTTTCTGATATGCTAGTTAACTTTTTGCCAGATAGAAACGGTGTCAAAATATTGTGTATGCAACTGTAGTGGAATTTGATAGATTAAACTAAACAGGCTCTTTTTTTAAAGGTTGAAAGGCATCATTGGGATTTTTGTATGATAATAAGAGTGGTCATACCAGGGTGGTCCTTTGCAGAACTTTTAACACACACACAATTATTCATTTGAATGTCTAACGCACCATAACAGACCAAAAATCAATCCTGCACCAAGTTTGGCTAGTGCATGCACCTTACTGTATGGTGATGTAATACCGCAAGTTGTGGTAGGCTGTGATGCAGGTGCATTACAATGAATGGCAGTGCAACTCCCCAACACATGTAACATCAATTATAGATTATTGTGTTAATGGAGCAATTACTGCAGCTGCTTAACCCCATAGTTCCCCTTTAATACACTGGGAATGGTGCAATAAAGAATTTGTGTCACATTTCTGGCAGTGTGTATGTAGTCAGAAACTTTGTGCCAAGTACATGAAAACCCTGCAATATTTTCAT